GTTTCGTTGCCAAGATACACGGATCTGAAAGCTCCCCTTCAATGATCGGAACACCATCAACGCGATCAGTTCCAGTGAGCAACTGAACATGAACATCTTCGTTCAGTTGCCCATGTTGCAGAGGAACGTGTATCTTATCCAATAGCAAATTAATGCATAGCACTCATTGGAAACTACTGAGTAATGACACATATACAACATCTCAAGACGGTTAATCTGTACTTAAATGAATTAGAGCTATTACAGACCTCTTCAAGCTGGAGATGCTTCGATAGAAAGCTCAATAGAACAAAGACTAGCTTTACTCTATCGGCATTTGGTGAATGTAGAATAAGCAGTTCATCATCAAATGTTGTTAGGAATCGTTTAGCTTATACAACTTATTGCTTGTGTGCTTCTGGTTTTAGCACTTAAGCTCTCACATCAATAAACACTTTGGTGTAAAGAGTCGAGATCAAGTCCTGAATGTTAAAAAAAAGCATAGTCTGTAATGACGACGCGCTTCATAGAAAATACAAGATAAGATGAACACCAAGAAATATGGCAAGAAGATAATAAGATAAATACTATCTTCTTTCTTCCACGCATTAGAGTCATCGTTAATTGATGACTCTGCCGTTAAGACAACTGATGGTTATCTGTAAACTATTACACCCCCGAAACTTGGAAGGACGTAATTGGTCTTAAAGATCAGAAGCAGTTATCTTGGAAGCGCTTCAATCCTGATATGTCGAAGTTGTCGTCATTCCCTTCTTAGTTGCATATCAACGCACTACTAGAGTTGTAAATCTCTTTCACAACGCTTAAATGGAGATCTCTTCTACTTTCTTATAAAGAAAGCTCAGATCGCAAAGCCTAATGGTAATGTCCAATGATCACCTGCATCTTTGATGAGATCAACGAAGGAATAATTCCTAATCAGTACTGTCGCAACGTTCATGCCTCCTCCATTGTTGATCCATTCTATGTTTCCCAAAGGAAGAACGATCAGAAGGGTCGATCTTCTTCATGGAGAAGATCAAAGAGCGATTCATATGGAAGTCGTGCTTCGGGATGTGTAACTTATCTCTCAAAGCATCTTGCCTAAGACGCAAAGATCTCAGATCCATGTGAAAGTGTTTCAAGCTCACTGCTACCAAGTTGTTTTATTAGATCGCGACGGAGTAATTGGATGCCGAGCAGTCTAGAAGCTGTCGGCAATTGTTGCTTGATCGGGGAGAAAATAATCGAGAGAAAACGTTGGGATGGCGCGAGAGTTCGAGGAGGTCCGCCGTGAAGGTTCGGTTAATATCCGTTGAACCATGCATCCAAAGATTTGGTGTAGAGGATTGGGCCAAGGTACTGGATACCCCGAATCCCCACGAGGATGAGAAAACCCCAAAACACGTCAAGTAGAATTCGCACGATCTTGCACAGCAAGGGGAACAGCTTGATCACAATAAATAGACTCCAGCTTGCAATCAACAAAACATCATTTCCCAGAAGACTTTGGGTTTTTTGTTGGTTAAAAAGGTCTAATTTGAGACTCAAAAAAGAAGGATACACTTTGCATGCACATGGAAGTAGACGTCGAGACGAGCTGGCCGCCTAGGCCAACTTTTCATTGTCTCGCTCACATGCTACTTTCACGAAAAAAAATTCCAAAACAACACAACTACAACCTTGTAGCTTTTCCATTCTTTTTTAGTGGAGACAAGTCAACTTCAAAACGATCTGCCGTTTCCGGATTCTTCTTTCGCTCTGCATCGAATTCACGTAGTTTTTTGTGTTCATCCCACAGCAAAAAAGGGGATGCATTTTCTGGGGGACTCCAAGGCGCCAAATAATCTTTTGGGGACCTTGACTCCATATTGTCCTTAAATGGCACATCGTTCGCCAAATTGCTCTCCTGAAGTGAAGCATATTTTTTGGCTTTTAGTTGTCTGAAGCTGTTCCACAGTCTCCTGCAAAATCGATTTCCCTGCTGGACATTGTCAACAGCCTCGAAATCCTCGAAGGACACTTTTTCAGTCCGTACACGCTCAGGATTTCGTCTCAAGAGCTTCAAGATTCCATTTCCCCATGAGCCCTCCAACTCATGGTTGTCGGAATTCTCCAAATTTGGGACGCTTAAATTCTGCAAACTTCCAACAGATCCATAACATGCCACAGTAAAGGCCGCAACACATTTGGGTGGGCTTGATCGACCATGGCTGTTAATCCTCATCATTGTCTGTTCCCCTGCACAGTGGGCCAGTTGTGTCTGCGGGCGACCATCCTGTTAGACCTGGCTTCTCTCGCGCGCCTTTTTTCCTCATGTTGCAGAGTTTTGTCTCGGGTTGCGTACTCTAGTTAATTCGCCTAGTGTCTGAGAAGTGGTGCTATCCATTGCTTCGCTAATATTTTGATCGCCAGGGGTCGAAACTGAGTAAGTATATTTGCCTGAACGAGTTTGCATGTGTCTAGAATATCAAGCGTGAAAAAAGCAAATGTTACTATTGGCAATAACGGAGGCCAATTTTTGTGCAAAACCAACACGTAAAAGAGAGAACTGATTGGTTTGTAGCAAGTTTCAAAAAACATTATTAGGCACGCACAACATGCATGAAAAGAAATTGTGCACTCAAAAAACATTGATTACGCTCATATGCTCTAGCAAACGTTGCTTATCATCTTGCCTTTGATTTTTGTATTCTGCTGCACTTTGAGCCTTTTGAGGCCGACATCCGGGGCGCGATGCAAAATCCGCTTTATTCTCTGCACCTCTTGCAAATTGGTCGGCGGAAAATTTCTTGCAGCAGTTTTTTGATCCGCGGTTGCTTTGGCAGGATCTCGCCTTGCAGTAATTGCACTGCTGTTTGATTGTCATGGCACCACTCCGGGTTTTTGTTAAAGACAATCTTGGGGATACATTGTAAGACTGCTTGCAATTCGGCCTCGCATGCACTCTGGGGTTGATTGCACAGTTTTTCGGAAAAGGTTTTTCCATCCACCCATAATCCTGCATGCGTCTTTGAGGCATCTGAAAATATGTGTTGATCATGTCGCGCCACCGTTGAAGGTGTCTCGTGTAGGGCTTGAAGAAATTGTAATACTTTTGCCCAATCACTTTTTTCAGTTGCAGTCATTTCTTCTGTTGTTTCCCACGTTGACATTTTTGTCATAGCTGGATATAGCGGAGCCAGTAAAGGTTGGAGGTCTTTCGCCGTCCTTTCAATGAAGTTAAGTGATCCCAATGTTTGTGCTCTTTTCCTCTTTGATGGCATCGGTGTTCGCATCAAGTTTTGTGCTTTAAAGAATGCCTTCTTCAGTGTTTCGGGTTTGCATTGAATTGCCCCGTCCGTCACTTGAAACCCAAGAATCTGCTGCGCCATGCTTGTGGGCTTCATGCTTTTCGACATGTTGATTTGCGCTCCGCGATTCTGGAAGGCTTGCAAAACTTTGTTGTACAGCCGCTCTGCCTCATTTTTATCGTTGCTTGCAACGTAGATGTTATCCTGGTAGACTTTCACTTTTCCCTTTTCTTCTTGTGTCAGGGCACTTTCGGTGATGGCATCGGTCCATTCTTGGAACTGCGGAGGTCCTATTGCCACTCCCATTGGAAGGACCAGGTATTTGAAGTAGCGGGGGCCGATCTTGAGGCCGCAAAACGATTGGCATTTTTCGGCTAACGGTAGGTTGTAAAAACCTTTGGAGACTGAGTGACTTACACACTGAGTGACTTACACACTGAGTGACTTACACACTGAGTGACTTACACACTGAGTGACTTACACTGGAACGCTACAAAGACATGGCTCTCTTCGGTTTTGATAGAAACAAAGTTGCTTCATACTTACTGAAGTACCAATTCTGGGTCAGCGTTTTATCCCTCGCCCATGGCCTTCATTCGTGCCACTTTTTCAGAGGGCAGCACTTCGACTCGTAACCGATGAAGAAACGAAAAGAGGAGACATCCGACCCCAACCTGAAGGGGCTCGATATTAAGTATAGAAGATGTCCGTATATCGATCTGCCATCAAATCTGAAGAAAGAGCTTGTTCGAGATTTGCTGCAATTCGAAGTTCTGTGCTACGAGGCGAATACTCTAAGAAGGCGCATGTTATATGATTAGACATGAGATGGAGAGTGTGGGAGAAAGTTGTCGATAGAGAGTCAATGGTAGGAACTGATTTCATTTTGAATGATTGAATGAACTTCCAATCAGATTCAACCAACAGCTGATGTTTCCCTCCAATTCGCAAAAGAACTTCGGCTAAACACCTCTGGTCTTGCGCTGGGTGAAGATATTCTCAAGACCCAGTTGGCCCCGTTTCTTCACTCATGGCTAGTGTACGATCCCTCACTATGTGATTTATGGGTTCGGTGTTGTCTTAAGCGGACGGACGTGCAGACCTGACTGAAGTTGCGTGTTGCCTGTCACTAGTTTAGACGTGCATGGGACAGACCCCAGAAACGACCTGACGTTCTTGTAGATGGTCCGCAGGTAGCGTACCATTCTTTGCCCTTCGCTGTCGAGGACACTGCTGATTACTTTTCTACGGCTGCCTGGGTTGAGGTAGAACAACAGCTAATCCCGGGTGAGATAATTTGCACTGAGTGAGATTAATCAACAATTTACACAACAATTTACACAACAATTTACACAACAATTTACACAACAATTTACACAACAATTTACACAACAATTTACACAACAATTTACACAACAATTTACACAACAATTTACACAACAATTTACACAACAATTTACACTGAGTGAGATTAATTAGTAATTTACACTAAGCAACAATTTACACCAACTGAACACTTCAAGGAAAGGAAGGAACGAACGAAACAAACAACAACAGCTAATCCCAGTCAACAAGAAAAGAATATCTTCTGAGTGAGATTAATTAGTAATTTACACTAAGCAACAATTTAAACCAACTGAACACTTCAAGGAAAGGAAGGAACGAACGAAACAAACAACAACAGCTAATCCCAGTCAACAAGAAAAGAATATCTTCAACCTTCTGAAGTGCACAGAGTGGGGTTCGAACCCACGCGGTCGTATGACCAGTGGATCTTAAGTCCACCCCCTTAACCACTCGGGCATCTGTGCTTCCATTAACTATTCCAGACCCCTTTTTGCGGTCCTTAACACTCGGGAACCAGCCACTCCCCGCCAAAAACTTTGTCGCAGCCATTGAGCTGTCCCTTATTGGAAACTTCGGGATGCAAATATGTACAGGCGGTTATTTAAGCTGCCAGCTCTGAACGACGAAAAAATTCTTGGGAGTCTTACTGAAATACATTGAAGCATCGACACCATCTCACGAACATTCTAGTCCATACCCATCTGCAAGTCAGACGGTTGGGGCGCGGAGAATTGGTGTGGTTTCTGAAGAGGAAAGAATTAAGGCGGCAAGATGAATTCCTTTGAGACGAATTCATTGTGAACGTCTGAATATTGAAATCTCCCGACTACGCAGTCCTGAGGAGAACGTTGCAGATCAGCAACTGGTTGATCGTTGTTCTGGTTCGCATTTCTTGAAGATGAAGGAATGTGGTGAGGGCGCACAAACTGATGGATCATCGTGAGGGTCAGTCTTCAGCCCTTTATTGAGCTTATCACTGGTTAATGAGGATAAGGAGAATCCTGGTCTTGTACCGGCACCCACATGCACCGGCAACACTGAATATCTGTAACAATGCTTCGTTCAAATCAAACAAAAGCGCTGAAACGCTCTGCGCCATTTCACTCTGCCGCATTGTCTCTCGGTTTTGCGGTGCAGCACGTGATTGGGTTGAATGGACCGATCAGTGAAACTGCTTTGGTGGGGAACGGAAAAATTTCGATTTCCCCCAATGAAGAGGTGGAGGTGAGCCAATCTGCCTGCCGCCTCATTCATGGTTTCTTTTCAGTCCATATTCTGTCAACAAATGACTCGAATTGCACAGCGGACTCAGGTAGCGTCCATTAGAACATACAAGAAAAAGCGCTTCTTCTTCGCTTCAGAGATCTCCAAATGGATTAACATTGAAATTTCAAAAACCCAAAAACGGAAAGATTGAGTTTGAAGTTCATGGAGCACCAGTAAGAAGAAAAACCGCGCATTGTTGATCAATTGTGTTTTATAGCCCCGCGAAGGATTCGTGATTACCCCTGCAGAAGAATCAGGAATTCTTGGAGCATTATTATTTGACGTAATGCAATGTAGATCGAGCGTCACTTCACTTGTTTTTTCTGCAGGACGCCTTTCTGAAATTGAAGCCACGAGAACCAACAAGATTGAGATTTAAAACTTGGGCAACAGACGTTGTGCACGAATCAGAAACGATCAATCTCTCAGCGGATCAAGCACTCAGATTGCAAACTCAGCTGAAGAAAGCTCTGGTCAGTCATGCTAGTCTGACCAGTTGATTCAAGGCCTCTATTCATTTCATTTCTCATTCGGTTTTCTTCTTCCAGAACCGATTTTTGTTGGATGATCACAAAGCTTCCGACTGCATTTGCGTTCTTTCTGGCAAGAAGGGAGATCCTTCGAGTTTAAGGGTCCAAGTTATTTCAAAGACGAGAAATTTAACAAGCGATTCCGCTCTTCTGAGGGACTTTTCACTCAATCCCAAATTGGGCGTTACGAAACGATTTCGAAACTGGATGCAGGGGATTGTACCGAAAGAACAAGGTGTTGAATTGCAAGTCTGCAATGAATCAACTGGGGCGCTCAGGAACGATTTGATGCATATCGTCAGCGAGTTTTGATTCCTCCCAAAGGAGTACATTGTGTGATATGTCTTTCATCTTTATGTTCTTTCTTTTGTCATACATGTTCACGTTCTATGATCGCAATCACGATATTAAACAGAATATCGGTATGGCGACATTGTGATTGAAAACTCGGTGATGTTGAAAGTTGTCCAAATTCGCACAAGATCAAGATCCTGGAAATCAAATTATTTGGCCCCGCTGGCAATTCAGTCTGCAATTATGAAGCCAAGCAATCAATACATAATACTACCAGGTGCTTGATTCAAATTGCGTTTCCAAGCACACTTTCATGGACCACCAAACGTTTCACGAAGAAGCGCATTTATCCAATTTGTTTGTCCAAATGGATTAAGTTATGGATCGACTACTGCATGCAGTAAGCGTCCTGGATGAAGATGATGAACAAGAGAAATGTCGACGGTCGCAGAAAATGTCGTCCATGGAAAACCGCACATTCCTGCGCGAGGGCGATTGTTCCTCTATTTCTGCGACCCCAGCAGGAAGACGATTTCCTCTTGCCCATCTCGTCCCACTTGGAAGGTAAGACTGGAGCAGTCCTCTCTGGGACATCTTTCCTCAGTTATAGCTTACAATGATTTCCCGTCGGTTGGGGAAAGAAAAGAGAAGCAACGAGACCTTCAAGTCACTTTCAAGAATGCTGTCGGGCGTCTACGTTCTACAGAAGATCCATCGAAACTGCTCCTTCCGTTGGGATTGGCGATAGAGGTTGTTGATGAGACCGGAAGAGTTCGAAAGTTCCAATCGGACAACGCGGTGGCCGTAGATCGGAATCAATTTCTGAGTGGGATTCCGAACGCGTTAACAACGCAAGAGGGTGAAGATAATAAAAATTTGAGTGAAGTTGCGGAAAATCCGATTAACGATGTGCAACGTGGTTCTGGAATTGCCAGTGAATCAGCGACACATCCATCTGCTCACCGTGAAGAGGATATTGGCACCCTCAATGATGAAGCGATTCTATCAGACGAATCGAAGCGGATGTCGTCTCTGAAAATTGACTCCGACCAGCATGATCTCAGCTGTCCAGCAGCTGGTCAAGCACAGGATGCGAGTCATGTCGAGGGCAGCAGTCCAGCAGCTGGTCAAACACAGGATGCGAGTCATGTCGAGGGCAGTAGTCCAGCAGCTGGTCAAGCACAGAATTTAGTGGAGAAACTTCTTGAGGTGTCTAGAGAAGCAACATCGCCTACAGCACTTGCGGCGTCATTGCAGCGAATATATGAAAGTATTAAGCGCTACGCTATGAACGCAGCCGATTGCCCGGAAAAAAAGCGTCAGATTGCATTTATCGCGCTTGCCGTTGCGGCTGCATTGACTCCAATTCTTCTGGTTTGTTGTGCACGGAAGGGATGTTGTCGTCGGAAGAGGAAGAGAACTCGGAAGAGTGTGGAAAGTGACGAGTAAGTTGGATCAGATCTTCAACATTGATAGCACATCGACAGGGTTGTTCAGTTAATAACCTTCTCCATCAGGACGAAAACTCTCGTTGCAGAGACCAAATTCTCTAGTAGCGCTGCTCCCTTGAAGAATCAGGACATTTCTCAGAACAGTGAAGCATGGACCATGGTGGATTGTCCGCACCGCAAGTCTCCTCCGCCTTGCTGCCTGCATGAGCACCCCCACAAGAAGGAACACTCTAGTACCGACAATCATGTTCCTCAATGCCCCCGTCATGGCTGCATCACTCGAATACGAAAAAAGGATAGAAGCTTCCCAGCATTGATGTCTACGTGATTGATGATGAAGTCAACACGACAAACATTTTAGAGTCTTTCTTATTCGCGTCTTTTTTAAGGAGTGGATGAACTTTTGTGTTCAGCAATTTTTCTTGTTTCTGCACCGACATGCAAATAATGAACCTGGCGCTTCACTGAAGCAGAATAGAAGATGGCAGCAGAGAAAGCTGCAGCCGTAACGGGCCAGTTGAAGCCCTCAACCCTTCCGCTGAATAAGAACATTCGCTTCTCGGAAATCTTCTCCACAGGACGTTACTTAGAACTTCCAAATTATGTTCGCCAGCCACTTTGGAGATCGTGGTGGGAGGCACAATTCAACAGTAGAACGTTTCTTCTTTTTGGTAAAAGCTGGATGGCAGCTGCGAGTCTTGTGATGTTCCTTTATTGGACGAGATTGTTTGGTACGCTCTGTCAACGTGTGCATAGGGACCTATCATCACCGTTATTCCTAGTTAGAATAGTCGAAATAGATTTTGGTGTTTCGTGAAGATAATGCAGCGAGTAGCGCGTGTCATTTCTCGTTCTCGCAGATCCCCCCCCTAAGGAGCGTCTTGACAAATACTGGTTCAATTCACGTATGTGGAGAATGTTTTCCTCCATTTCTCTATTCTATTTTCCTCCACTTCTTTATTCTGATTTCCAGCAAAATTCCGCATCTTAACGGCATTTCACAATCCAACGAAGCGTCCAGCGTATAAAATTTCTTGTTTAACGCATAATACGCGCTATTATCATCGTGGTATCGACCATCCATTTGGTAAGCCGTTTTTAGAAAAGCTTAGAAAGAAATGCTCTAGAAGAGAAGCTTTAGAAGAGAAGCTTTAGAAGAGAAGCTTTAGAAGAGAAGCTTTAGAAGAGATCTCCTTAGAACACGTTTAGCAAGCTCTCTTTGGTGCTTAAGAAGCGCGTCTTGAGAACAGATGTCCCTTATTATTCATTTGTCAATTTCAAGGTATGAATGAATGGAAGGATAATCTGTTTAAATTGCAAGAACAGTTTCTTATTGATCAACACCCAGGGGTTCAATACCCACATGTATATCGCCAGTTCAACAAAGTTCAAACACCTGATGTGCTCAAGGTGAGCGTTCTCAACCTCTTTCCCCTTTCATCCACTTCTATATCTTCCTTCATACCATCATCCCTCCTCTGTCCCTTCCCATCAGGTTCCTATCTATCCAGCTCCCGCCAAGATACCTGAAGCACACCATTAATACATTTTTTCTATTCGAGTACACGGTGTTGAGATGCATGTCCGTCCCTCGCCATCTTTTATATTGTTCCAGGACTGAACTTTAAAAACAGTCAACCCAGTTCTGACCACACACACCCATCAGGTTTTTTGGTTCCCATGGAGTCTTCCCCAAGCCTTGATGGATCCAATATCCTTCACCAGCTGAATCTCTATGACATGCCACACCAAGCGAAGGGGTTCTTGTTGGAGCGTTTCTCCACTGGAAGCCCGATGCTCGATCTTGCACTTGGTGGCGTGGTGTTCCTCATTATAATGCGGATAACTAGCAGTTCTGCACAAACTGATTTTTTCAGCCTTTTCGGTTCCATCTTTCATAAACTCCTAGAGCGTCTTTTCAGCTATCGGAATAAAGGTGAAATTGAATTTCTTATCGAGCAAGTCAATCAGGTGTCAAATTGCTTCACCCCAACTTACCGAGCAATTATGTTTAAACTGGGAACAATAAAAAGCGAGCAAGTGTGGAGATTTAAAGAGAAGAGGCTCGAATGGTACGACAACAGCGAATGTAAGAACATGAAGGAGTGCTTGTATCAAGTACTACAAACAGAGCCGATAGAAGTGGAACAGGATGTCTGGGTCAAGTGAGTTGATTGCAGCGTTTTTAATGACCCTCTGTCTATCACAAAAGATATTGAAGATGTCATGACTTTCTGTGTTGGACGATTCTATTATGGACTGATTTTTTAGATGCGAGGAAAAATCTGAGGACCGCCCAACTAGTGGGGGAAACCAGGTGATGTACGTTGTAACGTACAAGGTCTGCGTCTATTCGAAGAAGCAAACCGTCCACTATCTAAAAAAAGTTGTGGATAGATGGTTGAAAGAGTACAAGGACTACAAACGGGATCAACTCAGTGGAAAACAACTCATCTTTATGGTGCGATTTCCCGAACAAGATTTTAATAATAACAACAGCACGCCAACTGAAGATGTTCAATTCTCAACATTTAAAACGTTTCGCTCTTTTGATAATTTGTTCTTCGAAAAAAAGGACGAGGTTCTGCACGACATCAATTTTTTCTTACATGAAAAAGAATGGCATAAAAAAAGGGGATTGCCAGATTCATTGGGTAAGAGTTTTCTTTGATATCTTTTATTGGTGATGATGATGATGATTCAGGGATACTTTGTTATGGAGTGCCGGGATGTGGGAAGACGTCATTCATTAAAGCTTTACTGAAAAAGACCAATCGCCATGGAGTTATCTTTTCTGTCAATCGCCAAACAAGACTCGAATCTATTGAGAAATTGATGAGAAGTGAAGTTCTTTGTGATTTCCCAATTCCCCAAGATCAACGCGTTTATATTCTAGAAGATATTGACGCTATGGGAGATTTGGTAACAAAGAGAGTCAATCCTACTGACGACAAGCCAGAGGAGGAAATGGATGATGAAGGTATGAATTTAATCGATGTCGACTGGATTGATTGATTCTCATGCAAATATCCGAGATTGATGATGCGGACGAGTTTCTTCGTTTTTCCTGATCTGTTTTTTTTTTCAGCGAAGAAGGAAGTTATCACTCGAGAAAAAGAGGAAGAAATTTTTGAACGTCAATTATTCAAATGGCTTAAATACGGCATCAGCAAATCTTCGGATCATCATTTGGGATTTTTTCTGAATCTTCTCGACGGTTTGATTGAAACTCCGGGACGTATAATCGTGATGACCACAAATCATATCGAAAATTTGGGTGAGTTCATTTTTGTTAATGATCATTTTTTCGAGTGTCATCGTGTCATTGTTTCGAGTGTCATTGTTTCGAGTGATTGTTTCGAGTGATTGTTTCGAGTGTCATTGTTGGTCCTTCAGATCCCGCACTGATTCGTCCTGGTCGCATTGACATCAATATAGAGTTTGTTAAGTGCAGCAGAGTGATTGTTAAACAGATCATTTCTCATTTCTATAATAGAGGAATCGATGATTGGGAACTGGATGAAGAAGTGACTGATGATCAGATTACTCCAGCAGAACTGACGCAAATTTGCCGGGCAAATAAATTTGAGTTCGATGGAGCTCTACATGATCTTAACAAGTGGATGGCGGCGAAGAAACGAAGTCTAGAAGAGCAGAATATCGAACCAGTCGAAGTTACTGGTGATGTTGAGGCTAAGGATGAAGATGCATCACGTCCTGATGACACCATGGCTCTAAGAGCAGATTGAAGTGAGTTAATGTTTGGTGTGAATTTATGGCGATATTTGCAGGATGTTGCTACGACTGACAACTCTCCACATATTTCTGATGAAGCTCATATGTCACCAACGACCGAGAAATCTCTACTAGCTGCATGGACTGATGAATAGATAATAACAGTGTCCGTTTTTTTGGTATAAATATTTACTTGATTTCTGAGGCCCCATTGATAATCCATGATGGATACCCCAAGCTTCGTGAATTGTGCTTAGTATCAGATGAGTCACCATGCTATTCACAGAAGCATCACCTGTGGGACTTCAGGTAAACCAGTTCTCGGGAATATTCAACTAAAATGGCCGTCGCTAGAAGAGGTACGTGGGAATCTGTCTTTTGTTTTTGTTCCTCTCTTTCCCTTCTTTTTACTAATTTATGCATTTTCAGTCGCCACTTTCCTTCTGTTTCTAATTTTGATGCTCTTTGCTTTCGTCACAGTGGCTCACACTCAGAAAGCATGGTAGGCTCTTTCACCTCAGGCGTTCTATCTTCATTTTTCACATCGTGCAGGATTTTTGCCGCCGCTATCACAGCTACAATGCTAATTGTAGATTTTGCCTTATCAGTGCAAATCAGTTTATCTATGACCCTTTCTACCAGTAAGTTCGAGATACATCATTTTCTTGGTCTGATTCTGTTCGTCTCTTTCGTGTTCACTGTCCTCATTCATATCTTCCCTCAAAATTTTCATACTCTTTGCTTTATTTGCAGTAATTGGGAAAAACGAATAACCCCCAAATACTAAACGTCTACAAATACAAACTCACTTATTGGACATTTTCTTACTTTTCCTGATATTTTTTGGACCATGACTGGTTCTGAGTCAAAACAGTTACACGAAAAAAAACTCTCTCAAAAGGGCATTCAAGACCAAATGAGTCACAATCGCGGCCCACAATCACTCCGCTATGGTTCCTTATCAAAGTGTTGAGGTATTCGCGATATTTTCTTCACTCTCCAATCTATCTTTTGATGTTCAGGAACAACAACTCCATCCACGACAGCAACAGTATTTCGATCCATTCACTTCTCTCAGAGGTTTTGAGGATCCATTTGGACCGTCGCTGTTTGGACCCTCAAGCCCTGTTTCCACGTTCATCGGGCATATTCGATATGGTAGACCATCGCTCGTTGATGGACTCCTCTCCCTTGGGACGAAGCATGGACAGTATGGTGTCATCGATGTCTGGTTTCAGTGATATGGGACGAGGTAGCGGAAGTTATTCTTCACAAGGCAAGTTCGAAACAACAAATCATGAGTCACTTGATTCTATTCAGTAATGGTGATGAGCTCTACAGTGGGACCAGACGGACGCTCTCATGTTGAAAAATACGCAAAGTCTACAAGTGGAAATACACAACACCGTGTGAGTCATCTTCTATTGATGTGTATGTGTGTATGAAGATAGCTGTTGATACATACAGATAGATATACAGATAGATATACAAATAGATATACAAATAGATATACATATACAAATAGATATTCAAATACCATTGACATATAGAAACTCGATTGATTGTTAATAATCTGTGTCTTCAGATTCGGGAAACTAAGGAAGCTTATAGCAACAGCGCTGACGGGATAGACAGATTATTGTGGGAGCGTCAACTTCAAGATCGGGGACGGCGTTTTGTTCAAGAGAAAAACAGAGGCACTGGGGTTTGTCACACCGATCACTCAACTTTTGTTGACGTGTTTTTATTTTCAGGAAGTCGTTTCAAACGATGAAATTGCTGGAATGTCGCGAGATGATGAATGCGAAATATTCGATACAGATTGGAATCGTGCAGCACGACAACATCTACCAATCAGATCTGGATCGTCATTGATGCAATTTGGAGATCATGAAGGCCGATTTTCAACAACACGACAACAACCCCGACAGATAGAAGCAGCAGATGTCAGTGATCGTCCCTCAAGGCGGAGCCACAGATCAAGTCACGGTCAGCGCTACGCTTAAAGATTAATTTTAACCGAATATGAGTCTATCCTCATTATTTTCATTTATGATTAAACATTGCATGGTTCAAGAAAACGAGCTTTTGACGTTGGGATCAAACACAACATCAAATTCAATCATTTATTCTCTTTTAATAGTTTATTCTGGTTTTTTGGTAGTAGTCCTAATACAATGCTCCAACGCGAGACCCCGAGCCCTTCCTCTGCGGGTCTTTCCTCTGGACTTGATCCGTACATCGATCAGCATTTACTTTTTAAACAGCTCGATGAAGACTTCTCTCCAAGTTACAACGGACATAAACAACCACCAATCGAGAGCAAGCCGAAAGATGTAGTTGTGTTACAGAAACAATCAGCATCCCATTTGAGCCATCTGAGTTCAACAGTTTTCACACCAACTCCAGAGCCTACTGCGGCAAATTATGTCGCTGAATTTGTAGTAACCGGCGTCATTGTTTTTTGTAGCAGGGGGAACATTCTGTGCTCTTCTCTTCTCCATATCGCCGCTGAAAACATTTCCAATGCAAATTGTTTGCGCCACTCAATATTCAGGTTTTCTACTCGCGATCTCTTCCTTCCTATCGTTTTTTCAACACAGCGCTGTCCCAATTCTAACGCTATTTATTCGTTCACATCAATCCGATGGGATGACTTCAACCAGTCAATCATCACTGCAATCAATCATTGTAGATCTCCCACTTCTTTTATCGCTCATTTTTTGTATCTCTCTTTGCAGTTTTGCAACGTTTCTCCTCCAGTCATCATTGCGTCTCATCGCATCTCTGACGTATTCATGGCTTGTTCTTCACTCGCTGCTTGTGATATTCACAACACTTCAAAATGCTTCGGAGATTTTCGAGAATTCAAACAAATCTTCATTTGAAGAGGCGCATGCTAGAAGGGCGGTTATGCCAGAAGCACCCCAATCTGAAATCCACCTATCATCTTACAACCAGCCCTGTGGGGATCTCACGACAGAAGCTCTGATACCGAATACACGCAACTCAACTGCAAATTGTGTTTTCGCGCATCTCTCGAGAACAGAAGTGCTTCTTCTTTTTGTCGATGGATCAATTCGTGCGATGAAACTGTTTCTATTTGCGCTCGTCTCCCTTAACTTTTATTTTTTCGTTTTCCCTCCAAGCCATCTTCACTTTGACTAAATGGACCAGGACTAGGAAGAACTTGGTACGCATGAGGCCTCTACTCATCCTGAATCATTAAATCGAATGGGTGGAGGAAAGCTGCTCGTTCCATCAGATGTCACTCTTCTTGAGGAGAAGTACACGACGGGAAGGCGCCGACTCCGTATTGGAGAACGCATCGGGTTAATGGGTGAGTCAAATAGAGAGGGTTCAGAAATAACAATTGAGGCAGTTCATGACAAGAGGGGTTCTGGAAATTATAGTAGACGATAAGATATTATAGTAAACGCGATGGATGGACATTTATCTTCCTCTAGGGATCCTTCCAATGTTTCATGCGCGTTACACGAAACTGGATCGCTCGGATTATCGACGCATCTTATCGAGAAATTTTGGGGCAGCCACCGAAACAACGCAGCAAGATCAAGAAATATTGGAAATATTGAAAACGCGTCAAAAATCAGTCAGAAAGAGGGTGAGCGGAATATTCCGATGACAACAATGAATATGGATCAGTATTGTTGTCTTCTGGTTGTTCCAACAAAGGAATAATTATTATCTCCTTAGGTTGTTTCACAGTCATATATGTGGGCAACTGTGGATATCGCAACATTGATGACATGGTAGGATCCCATAAACATTTCTATCTTTCCAAGTTATTGTTGTCTCTTTCATGATCTACTCTTTAATTCTAATGATTGTTATTTGTTTAGGTTTTCGATACGTCATTATGATTATAAGTCGAAGGCTATCATTCTTCCATTCGTTGCTTATGGAGCTTCATTTGTTGGTCGATGGACTGGTGACTTGGTCACTGGACGGTAAGAATTCTCTCTCTATTATTTTATCTTTTCTCTTTGTTCTGGTGATTTTCTATTCTTCGAGTCTCTCTAATGATTGTTCTCACAGATGGAAGGAATACGGGCGAGACAGATTTCTGGGAGAATTACCATCCAAACAGTACTATGTCCCAATTTCCCAATAATTCTCAAACACCCTGTCCCAATTTCCTAATCAAGACCCTTTTTCATTTACTTAGCAAACTCGAAAGTTCAAAATCGATTTGCGTTTATATTGTAGATTTATGACACGCAACGTTGATTGAAACAAAAAATAGAAACGTGAGCAATTTTTCAAACACCCGGATATTGAAATTGCAGCGCAAACTCTTCAACTCGGCCCCTCAAGGCTGCAAGGCCAGAGTGCGACACCATTGCACCCAAAAAGTCGTTCAATTTCTTCCCAGATGTCCCTGCAATAGAGGAGTGTCATCAACAACTGCCATCTACACAATAACTATCATCAACACAACAACTAGCATCAACTCGATGTTACCTTGAATCTCGACGCATAAGTTTGCACAATCAATCAAAATATCTCCAATCATCACCATGTCACTTTCCGAACATCCTCTTGTTGTCATTGCAGGAGTCCCAATTCGGACACCGCTGGGGTTCAGCGCTGATTGATCTCCCGGAACTGTATTTTTATTGAGCGAAATTCCTACAGCTTCTGCTAATTTCTCGAATTTGGATCCTAGAGTGACAAAGTTACGGCATTCCATTGCCTTTACGCTCACCGGTAATCCCAAGGGGGCGCAAGTCCCAAAGAATCAAATGGTTGTCGGTTCCTCCCGTCACGAGAGTCTGTCCTCGTCCAAGCAAATGCTTCGCCAAAGCGCGTGCGTTCGCCACAACCTGTTTGGCATAAACGGTCCATTCTGGTGTTTGCGACCCTGAAATAAGCACGCAGAATTGATTGAACGCGAAATGTGTTTGATCCCTTAACAAATATCAATAGGAGGTCTAGCGCGCTTCACTTTTTACCTCCCTCATTTGCGTTGCTATAGCTGCTATTTGGTGGTTATGCGGGCCGCCCTGTAACCCTGGGAAGACTGCTTGATCGATTTTATCTTTCCATCTTTCCCTAATCGATCCCTATTGAAAAAAATCAGTCCACTTCGAGGCCCTCTTAAGTCTTGTGTGTTGTTGTAGTGACGACATCACAATGAGGGAAAGGAGACTGATGAACACCAGCAGCTACCAAACCAGCAATATGGGCGATATCGGCCATCAACATTGCTCCAACATCATCAGCAATTTTTCGAAACATCCCAAAATCAATTTCCCTAATAGAGACCAATATTGAAAAAAATAGATTTGGGACGATTGGGACAGCCTTATTCGATTCATCAGCAATTGCATTTCATTCACCTTGCATACGCTGAAGCTCCGCAAATGATCAACTTGGGACGAAAGATTAGAGCTGTATTCCGAAGATTTTCGAAATCAATTAATCCTGTTTTTTCGCTAACTTGATAAGGAAGAGACTCGAAGAAGATGGACGTTGCTGAAATCTTTTTCTTGGGGGTATAGAATCCATGAGTAAGATGACCGCCATCAGGGAGTCCCCAAACCCATAATTCGATCATGAGGTTGGAGAAGACCTGAATAAACGGAAGTGTGGACAACAAGCACTGGTACTGACGTACGAGTAGACAGCGAAACCATCAGACTGTTAAATGCCTTCCCTACCTGTATAAACAGCAAAGTTGGCTGGAGATCCAGAGTATGGTTGAACATTGGACATCCCAAACATTCTTGTCAAGAGAAAATGCTTCAAGGCACCGGGATTTACACAATAATTCAATTTTATCGATGACTTCATTTCCTCCATAATAGCGAGCTAATGGTTGCCCCTCACTGTATTTATTCGTCAGACAAGAACCAAGACAATCCAAAACTGCACGACTTGTGAATTCTGAGCGAAACATTGGAACATCGATTCATCATTGGGATATCGATTCATTGGAACGTCGATTATGGGAAACTAAAGATAATGTCCATTTCGTAGTCTTACTAAAGATAATGTCCATTTCGTAGTCTTACCTCCGACGCAATCAATTCAATTCCGCGTATTTGTCTTTGTTTCTCTTGTTCGACAAGCGCAGCCAGTTCCGGATCCGCGACATCCAGTGGCGTATTAAGAATCTTGTCGTTAAACATTTGTCTGATGTCACTCTGAATGATCCTAGTCAATAAGTTCAGAGTAGGTCTGCATTTGGCGTCTCGTGTGGAAAAGATCAATGAAAAAGTCTCCTGCAAGTAGAACATTTATTCGACTTGAGAGCCATCGTCTAACACATTTCGAGTCGCCTTCTAAATATTCAGCCTTCGATTTGTCCTCCAGTCGATCAGCCCTCTGGCTCCTCTAATCGATCAGCCTCTGGCTCCTCTAATCGATCAGCCACTGGCTCCTCTAATCGATCAGCCTTTGGCTTCTCTAGCCTGTACAGCCTTCTCTAAATCTTCATTCTTCGAACCATCAACAGGAGGAGCAACGGGAGCTTCGGGAATTTTTAGTACAACTGGGGGTCTGCGAGGAATCCGCGACGCAACAGTAAATCCTCTAGAATTCGAATGTTTTGGGAAAACAATATTAAACAAGTCGTCGTAACATTCGACGAAATGCACTGTAAGCCCCGCCTGATGACGAGCAAACAGATAAATAAGAGTCAATTTCATATAAATAAGAGTCATTTCATATAAATAAGAGTCATTTCATATAAATAAGAGTCATTTCATATAAATAAGGAGTCATTTCATATAAAATAAGAGTCATTTCATATAAATAAGAGTCATTTCATATAAATAAGAGTCATTTCATATAAATAAGAGTCATTCATATAAATAAGAGTCATTTCATATAAATAAGAGTCATTTCATATCATAAATGGTGGTTACCTTGACGTTGTCACTAAGCTCCTCGAAGTCTTTGAGATTGTCCAGCGGGAATACGAGATTCTTCATGAAGCAAGAGATCATGACCCAAAGCACATTCAGAATTATCTCACCTTTACATTTTCTCGTTTTGCCGCAATCACTTTTTCCTTCACTCCTCCGATCTTTATCACTTTCCCTGTTAAAGTTAATTCTCCAGTCATCGCAACATCTTCAATGATTGGCTCTTTCAATGCTAATGAAATCAGAGATGTTGCCATCGTGATTCCGGCAGATGGACCGTCTTTAGGAGTTGCGCCCTCAGGAATGTGAAGATGGATTTGAGCCTGAAACACAAACATCAAAGAGTAAAACAAATGATAGGGAATAACTGTGATAGTCATGTCCTTCTTTGAGTTGTTGATATCATCGCTATTGGGGTAGTCCATTGATAGACGCGTACCTCATCCAGATAACGATTTTCAGGAGCGAATTCAGAAAGGAAATATTTTGCGAATGACAACGCGATCTGACAACTCTCACTCATAACTCCCCCTAATTGTCCAGTTACACGAAAATGGCCCCGATCGGTGGCTTGCCTCAGAAGAGGACTTTGACGATTTTGACGACTTTGATGTCCTCGACGGCGTGGTAACCTCTTTTTCGTCAACGTTCCTCTTCATCACTCGAAGAGTCGCTTTCTACAGGATTTGTATGATCCGGTATGACCCTTCCCTGTGCTTCAACGAAAAGGGTTTGCGCCACCCATTTGAGTCCATGCAAGTCCCATAATGACACCAGGTGGCGTTTTCGCAAAAGACGGTCCGACTGAAACGGTGGCTGTCCCAAAAACGTCGTTCAAATTGGAAAGATCAACAGTTTGCTTCTCGACGGATTTTCTGTGAAAACAAAAAAGAGATGATTTTTTCTGCGAAGGTTTGAGAGATTTACCGAACAATTTGTAATGCAACTTTTCTGAATATCTTCTCGATATTTTGCTCAAATTTCTCACTCCAGCTTCTCTTGCATAATCTGCAACAATCTTCTCCAAGACCTAGAATGACACAGACTGTTAATGCTACGATCTCTACATGTATAGATCGCGACCACGTATACATGTATGGATAGATAGAGGACAATAAACATGTATATATGGGGAATGAACTCTCATCTATAAACTGACAGGTCCTTTGATTTCAATCTTCTCTTCATTCACGCCTGTTTCAGAAATCACTTGCGGAATCAAATATTGTTCAGCAATTGCTAATTTCTCTTCCTTTATATAACCTGCTAATCGAACGATCTCCATACGATCTAGCAATGGAGACGGAATGGAATCGGTCGCATTTGCGGAACATAAGAAAAGAACTTTCGAGAGATCGACGGGGAAGATCGACGTAATGATCTCTAAAAAGAGAGTAGATAAACGAATCATCACTCGAATAAGAACATCGACACCAATCATTCATTCATTACAACATGGATCCTCAGTTGAACCAAACGCTACCTGAAACTATTGTTTTGTTGAGGGTCCAGAATCTCTAGAAGTGCAGAAGCAGGATCCCCTCGGAAATCTTTACCCTGTAAGCAAACGGACATAAACAACCCTTTTTGAATCAAAAGTAACTCATACTACAAAAATTGGAAGCTTCAATCAATAAATAAATTAGCATACCAGCTTGTCAATTTCATCTAAGAGTATGACTGGATTGATTGCTTTGGTTTCCTTCAGAGCTTGGATGAATTTTCCTGGCATTGCGCTGACGTAAGTACGTCCGATGCCCTCGTAATTCTGCGACATCTGATAGGCCGCCTGAAAACACGCAGTGACAATGGATTACAGAGAAAGTCGACTGCCATCTACATCTATTACACATATTTCCATTCATCCACGATTCTATGCCTCATCATTGTATCCCTCCCACTGTCATCGTTGTATGCCTCTATCATTTACTCACCCAATGAAAATCTATAAAACTTGCGATCAAGAGCTTTTGCTATGGATTTCCCAATTGATGTTTTTCCAACTCCTGGAGGTCCAACTAGACAAACTATCTTCCCCCGTGTGTCTTTCTTCAAAATATTGACAGCCATTAATTCGAGGAGACGATCTTTAACGTCTTGTAATCCGTAATGATCCGCATCAAGAATCTTCTGAGAAGCAAACAAAAACCTTAAATACTTCGAAAAACCAGTTTGTATCAAACGGATGAGAAGCGAATGAATTAAATGCGTGCATCGGACGTACAGCAGCTTTCTCAATGTCCTCATTATCTACTGTGGTTACGCCCCAGGGTATTTGGGTGAGCCACTCAAGATAAGTACGGCAAATATTGAATTCCGCTGATGAAGGTTCCAGTGAAGATAAACGACTCAATTCGTGATCAATCACCTGAATAAACAGATCAAAGTAGAAAAGGTCAAATGGGATACTTAGTTATCAAATGGGATCCTCAGTTGTCCATCATCAAATGGGATCCCCAGTTGTCCATCATCAATTGGGATCCTCAGATTGTCCAATCTTACTTTCGATGCATCTTCAGGAATCGTTCTTCCTTCTATCGCGTCTCTGAAGGATTGAAGAATCGATTGTTTGTCATCTTTCTCTAATCCAAGTTCTTTCTTAATATATTTCATTTGTTCGGTCAAAACATATCTACAGAAGAAGAATAATAAAGAGGAAGCATCCAAACAGAAATGCAAAATGACAATGAATCAACAGTAACAAATGTCAACAGATACGGGAGTCCGCTCGTTCAGTGGGCTGGAACTCCGAAGTCAGACGGATATAAATATCAAGAAACTAACTTTCTCTGCTCCTTCGATAATTTTTCTTCTACTTCGTGTCTAACGCGATTTTGCAATTTTGAGAATTCAAATCTTTTTTTACAATTTCAAGAACAAGAAGCATTCGACGATTCAAATCAAGTTCCTAGAAACCAAAAAACTGAGTGGATATTCAGAATCGCGTCACCCACTTGCAAAACAGTTTGCAATTCTTCCCTCTTTGCGAAAGACATTCCAGCCACTAAGTCAGTTAATTTTGATGGGAAGTCGAGATTATAGTATTTGATGACCTGAAGAGAGAAAAGGTGTTCGCTGTTTCTTTCTTTTGGGACAACCAGAATTGTCTTTCGTCGATGGAACTTGTAAATCTCGTGATGAAATTTTTTCTCGCTATTATCTGTGATGACTGTCACTATTATCTTTGATGACTCTCACTATTATCTTTGATGACTCTCAGTATTATCTTTGATGACTCTCACTATGAACTTTGATGACTCTCGCTATCATCTTTGTTGACTCTCGCTATATCTTTGATGACTCTCGCTTATTATTCTTTAGGTGACTCTCCTACCTGATCAAAATGCTCCTTATAAAAAAAGGAAGTCGTAAGAAGTTCTTTCATCGTTGCAACGATTTCGAGATGGACGGCCTTCAATTC